TTTGTGGACGATTCGGGTATACGAGTGAGCAGGATTGAGGCGTCTTAAGTAAGCACCCTCTCCGGATTCATAAACTCTTTCTTCTTTTTCCTGCTCCTCCTGCAACAGTATCTTCCATCTTTGGTAGATTTCTTCGAAGATGTTCACGACACCGCGGAAGTCTGCATCTGTGACTGGCCCGTTGAACTCAAGAATACTGTCCACGGCGTACTCTGTTCTCATGGCCGTTTCGAATTCTAGTAGTTGATCTCTCGAGGAGAAGATATTGGATGATCTGCTTACAATATACTTCGGGAAATTGCGTCTTGAGATCTTTGCCAGAATAATTGTGGTTAATGATTTTTCTGTCCACTCGGTAGACCGATAGAAGACTAGATGTACCCTCTCAAACAATTTGAATACCGGCAACGAAAGCCTAATGCAAGGACCAGCTATAGCTAGTATCTTGTCGAGGAAGTGTTTTCTCCTGTTGGAATCCTCACCAAGGCCCGGCCCCGGTGATTCCGCCTCCGGAGTATTTCTGCCGGACGAGTCCACGGAGTCAATGGTGCTAGATCGGCGAAGACCCATCGACAAGAGACCGGCCTGCTGACTACTCATTCTGCAAATTGATCTTGCGAGCTCGCCCTTATTCTTGCCCTGGACCTTAGCTTCCTTAGCTAATGTCTTCACTTCGTCCAAGCTTAGAAGGGTAGTGGCCTCTTCCACGTTGGTTATGTGGTTTTCTGACATGTCGGCAAAGGTGAACGCGCCATCAAATATACAATTATCTTCAGCCATCAAAGCTGACTTCGATTCTGAGGATTCAAGAGCGGGCCGTGGATTGGAAGAACTCGATGGCAAATCTCGATTTCTCTGTAACTCATTAACTGCGGTCTCCATATTTTGAACATCTTCATGATAGCGCAGGCGCGCTATTCGATGCCACGATGCCGTCTTTCTTAGGAATAGTCGTACATATCTACCAGAAAGTGTTAGAGTCTGAACGGGACAGAAAGGAATGCTATATTTTCAGAAATTCCGTACAAGAACTGGGCCTCATAGCCTAGTTTATTCCATTGGTCAAAGATATACATCTCCTTCTCATCAAATAAATGCGACTCCTCGTCCAGTACCGTGCCGAGGGCGAGGTTGAAAGCATCGACATAAAGAGAGGTCTTGCCCCTCACCCATTTCCTCGAATCAAGTCTCGATGCAGCGCCTGCAGCATCCTTATCGCCGTCCCCTTGCGATGCTCGAAAACTTTGATATTCCTCGAGGGCTTCTCGTTCAGACTTGACCTCGGGTAGCGAACTTTCAATAGCAGTTCGTTTATGAGTATCAACTTCAGCCTCGGAATGTTGCGGAGTTTCATCGTCGCTGACTTCCGAGTGTGCTGAATGTGCTAAATGTACCCTCCGCACACCTGGTAGTGGCTTAAGTGGTAGAGTTTGGAGGTCATCGTCTGAACCTTGGTCGCTCTCCGAAACCTGTTCCCTTTTAATTCTTTTAGAAGACGGTCCATCCGTTGGTTGGGTTCGCTTTTCATTAGACCGAGGTGGCTGCTGAGAGGTATCAACTGGTTTTGATTTCCTAAGCCAAGCATCCATCATCGTGCATCCCAAAGATGATCCATCTTAACTGAAGGTGTGTGGAGAAAATATTTACAAGTAGACCTAAGGGAAGGTTGAATGACTTCATACAACGAACGCGGTGGGGACGCGACCTCCCTTGGAGAGCTGCGCTGTGGAAACGCGCAGTCACGCGATTAGATAATGTGGAGGGAAAGTACCGCCGCTATTCAAAATACAACCGTTGCGAGGGCAGCATGAGCCTGTAAAACAGCTAGCCCAGGTACCTCCCACTATACCGCTACCTGTAAAAGTTACGGGCGGTCCGAACAAAAACTCGAGCTCCCTCTCGACAGTCTCCACGAATTGCGGAATTGCCAAACTGCCAAACTGCCATACCGCCTTTGACAACCTTGACAGCAATGGCAGACGAGACACGCCAAACTCCCGTCCCGCTTCCTACCTACGGTCAGCCCAGCGCAGACGCTTCTACCCCTGCAACCCCAGCCATGACTGTCGAACACTCTGCAGCAATCCCCGACGCCATCATGTCCAACGCAGAAGCAACCGCTGGCGTACCGGCTCCCACCACGGAGCAAGCTCCTGTAAGAAACCATATGGAGCACACTCCAGCCCAAAAGTTCGCCGCAATTCTAGAGCGCTCACCTATGTCCTACGGAATTCAGGGCCAGGCCCCTGCCACCACTGCCGCCTACGCGACCTCGAATGCGCCGAGTCCCGCCGCAGCGCCTGCACGAACCGGCACGCCTCTGCGAAACGTGAACGGCCAAGACAACAACTCCTCACGTGCTGCCTCGCAGCATCCTGACTCGGGATTCACCATGCCTGCCGAGGCGCCTCCTCACGGCGCTGCTGTTCGACAGTACCTCAACAGCACAGTCACTGCTCCGTTGTTGGACGGCATGAAGATGATCGCTAAGGACAGGCAAGTCGTTTACTGATTAATTCAGCTGGTGTCTGCGTTTCTAGGTCAATTGCTAACGTCTCACCCCTCACAGACCCAAGGATCCTCTTCGAGTCCTCGGTGAGTATCTGATCCAACGCTCCAAGGAGCTCGAGGCATCAACGGCATGAAGGATAAATGGCTGCATGGACGGAGTTCCGGGCATGGAAGAGGCGTTTTTAGCTTTACAAAACTGCACATGAACCATAGATTTTCGGTTTTCGTTACCATGATACCATTGCCCTAGGCAAATCACGAGTTTAATGGGTGGTTTAATTTGAGGACGATTGCAGAATCACGGGGGGCTTCAGAGAGCCATTGCAAACAATATAGTTTTGTTCGTGAGATTTCCATTGATCTCAAATCATGTGATTGCTGTTCGCGTATCTTAAGTGACTAGAACTGAGCAATACCCATTTTGGCTGCCCTCAAAGCAATTCCGTTTCCACGAACTCCATGACCAGACCAAACATTCCACCATGCAAATCACCACCAGTTGGGTTTATGCTTATGCGACAATGGTGCTGGCAGTGGCGCTCTCGTACTTCCAGGTCGGGGGGAGGACACCGACGGTCTTGTAGTACCGAGCGAGACGGTGGATTCGCGACTCGATCAGAATCAGGCGGAACTTGGCGTCTTTATCCTTGCGGTTGCGCTCAAGGTGCTTTCGGACGGAGACAGCCTTCGCGATGTAGTTAGTATCTATTCCGAGCTCTTAAGCACGTCTAGTGGTCCACTCACCTTCTTGATCAACATGTACAGATCCTCAGGAAGCTCGGGAGCGAGGCCTATATGAAGATCGCACCGTCAGCCTTGACCAACAGTGGCATTATTGTTGCCATGGTCTCTCTGAGAGTACACATGGATTTTGGAGAGGTATTCAAGTTTTCGTGGGTTTCGAAGGGGATCTTTCATGTCGTACCATTGGACTTGAGGATTCGCAGGATCTTGTTACCTAAATTTCGCAGTTAGCTCTGGGCCTTGGGTGCAAAGTTGAATAAACGAAACCATTGCAACATACCAGTTACGATGCGGACCTGGGCAATTCCTTGGGAGTCACGAAGAATGACACCGATCTGGGACGGAGTAGCACCCTTACGGGCCAGTCTGCAGATCTGCTCCTCGACCTGGCCGGGAGTGGTCTTGAGCCACGCGGGAGGAGTGCGCGAGTAGGGGAGCGCCGAAGCGGATATTCCCTTTCCGTTGGAGTGAAGACGACCCATTGTGACGGATTTGGTTGTCGACTTTTGGTGATGTTTGGTGGGCAGAAGTTGGTGAAGATGTGAAGTTTTTTTGGTGGATTTAATTTTGCGAGAGAAGATAGCTGGAATTGTGTGTCAATTTTCGCTCTGCGGTGGTCTGTGCAGCAAGGGGATACCCACCTTGTCTCAGATACCGAAATTTAGCCGACTCATTACCTAAGCTTACCTAGTTGAGCTCCATTAAAATTTCCTCTTAAAAAAATTTCATGTTCTTCCAACCTACGGAAACACTCCAATGGGGTTTACATGTTAGACCTTGTCCATCATGGCCTAGGTACATTAGCATACTTGACGATGCAATCCTAAGCAAATTTTGTCGATATGTCCGTGGCTATATGACACCAAGGTAAGCTCTCAATGTCTCTACAAATCTCAAAACTTCTACCATTCCCCTTTCTCATGATGATACCAACCATCTTTACTTTATTTTCTGGTACCTCTTATATCATCGGGCCTTCGCGCCTGAAATGTATTAAACGGACTTCTGACAGAGACCAACCACCCTTTTCAGTCATTGATAATACTCGTGGGAGATGAAGCTCGACTGACATGCGAGCAGGTAATTCAGCCGAACTCGTAAAAACGCTGCACCAACCGTACGCATAAATCTATACGCTCGACAATCTGTTCTTGTTAGGTGATGCTCAGTTTTTGGAGTGATGTGGTTATTTTACAGCGAGATCCGGCAGCTTCATGATACCCTCTTTGAGTGGGTTACCGTAAGCTTTGTATTAATCTTCCATAAACAGAACGTTGTCCTAGCATTCTGAGTTCGATCTGAATAAATCCCCCAACACTATTATAATCCAAGACCGTAGCAAGTACCAGGTTGCTATTCCCGTGACCCCAGGCCGTCGGCTATACTCGTGCCACCATAATTACCTTGCCAGACTATATAGCCTCATGTAACAAGCCTCAAAGACCTGTGTCATTGATTGATGTGACACTTAGATTATTGAATCCTGAATATTTATACTACCGGGCTTTAAGAAGAGGTTGATGGACAGCGCTGTGCTGTCTTGTCAAGCCCCAAGTATCGAGGTTAACTCTAAAATCAATACTGAATTCGACCGTCATTTCTCCCGTACTTGCCCCCCTAGGCTCTTAGACATCTTCTAGAACGAGGCAAATAGACATCTCATTCCCGAACCTATAAGTTCTACTAGAATAATAAGGCCAAAAGAACACAACACATTTCAACCTTGTCTACGAGGAACCGTCCAAGGCCCTTTGGCCCAATGGTAAGGCGTCTGACTACGACCAAACATGGTAAAACGTGCTGAAGAAGTAATCAGGAGATTCTGGGTTCGAGCCCCAGGAGGGTCATTGTAATTTTTATGCTCTTTGATGTAGCATCATAACAGATTTGGTGGAACTCTCTAAGGGCTAGGGCACTTTTGGTGGTGGACCGGGGCCGAACAGGAAGCCAGATATTTGGTCAGACCATGTTCGGCCTGTTCCTTCTTGCTCGGTTTTGCAGCTATCAGTAGTAAAGATGGGAATCGTTGATATGGACATATGCTGCTCTTTGGTGCATCTCCTAGAAGGTAGGCTTTAGCTACAATAACGTAAGTAATCAGATAACTTCAGGCGCCAATGTTAGTACGGATCATGTCTCCGTTCTCTAAGACTAAGATGGATACTAGTTAGAAGCACATGTATGTCTAACCTCCCTGCCTCCTTCCATCTCTCCATAGCTATCTTTCGAACGCTCCTAGTAGACAGTTTCCTCTACCTTATATCGTAGGAGGTAATTTTCGATTGTTCATATGCCCATGGCCTTACTTTTTCTTATGCTATGGTGTCCAGGGGGTGGTTGATCCGGAAGTATTACGATAATCATTCAAATGGAGATTGACTTCGTGGAGGTGAAAAAAAGTCCTAGAGACTGGTACTGCGTGGCTTCCCCTTTTCTCCTATCGGCCATCTTGCATCTTGTTACCTTATGCGGCACGATCTTAGCGATTGACCCAGCATCAAAGTACCCCCAAATATACATTCCATCTCAAAGAAACGAAATCATCCATGCCAATAATCCTGGGCAGTAGTAGCTCGCGCGCTGCAAGATGCAGCCGAAGAATTCGCGTGGACACCCGGGTTGTTTACGTGGTAGTGCCGAGTCGTTCGGGTCCGGGTGTGTGGCTGCAATCACGTAGGAAACACGGAGCACAAAAGCAAATACCCCAAGTAATTTGTGTACGAAATGTTTCATTTGCACTGGATATTGAGTACGAGCTAATCATAATCTAGGTTGACCGTTTTTCCCCGAGCATAAAAAACCGCCCCCAGTTCATTCCAGTCATCCCTATTCGTGAGAGTTGCTATCAGAGAGCACGCCTAGAATTTTACCAAGTTGCAAGAGTAAAGGCCAGTCATTGTTTATAGATTGACGGCCTTGCGGAAGTTCTCGCCGGCGTAGACCGCGTTGTCTCCGAGTTCCTCCTCGATGCGGAGGATCTGGTTGAGCTTGGCGAGACGCTCAGATCGAGCGGGGGCACCCGTCTTGATCTGGCCAGCTCGGATACCGACGACGATGTCGGCAATGGTGACATCCTCGGTCTCACCGGAACGGTGAGAAACCATAACACCCCAGCCGTCGGCGTAGGAGTCCTTGGCAGCTTGAATCGACTCGGTTAGGGTTCCGATCTGGTTGACCTTCAGGAGCAGGGAGTTGGCAGCCTTAAGCTCAATGGCCTTCTTGATACGGATGGGGTTGGTGACCGTTAAGTCGTCACCGACGATCTGGATGTCTTGGGTCTTGTAGAAGTAGCTCCAGGCCTCCCAGTCGTCCTCCGCGAAGGGGTCCTCAATGCTGACAATGGGGTACTTCTTGGCGAGGTCACCGTACAGAGCAGCCAGCTCCTCGTAGGTGATCCACTTGGTAGGGTCGCTGTCGGGGTTCTTGAAGTCCAGGTCGTACTTCTTGACATCCTCCTTGTAGAACTCGCTGGAGGCGACATCCATAGCGATCTTAACCTGGCCAGTGTAACCAGCCTGCTCAATGGCATCGGTAATGAGGTCAAGAGCCTCGGCAGCAGTCTGGATATCCGGAGCCACACCACCCTCGTCACCGACATTGCCCGCAGACTGGCCGTACTTCTTCTTGGCAAGAGACTTTAGCTTCTGGTAGACCTCGGCACCCTGCCGCATGGCCTCGGAGAATGACGGGGCTGCGGAAGGAACGATCATGAACTCCTGGAAAGCCAATCGGCCACCGGCGTGGGAACCACCGTTCAGGACGTTCATGAAGGGAACGGGTAGGACGTAGGGCTTCTTGGTGCCGGCAAGGTCCGAGACGTGGGCGTATAGAGGGACACCCTTCTCGGCCGCACCAGCCTTGGCAATGGCCAGACTGACACCGAGGATGGCATTGGCACCAAGCTTCGTCTTGTTGGGGGTTCCGTCAAGCTCGTTGAGGAACTTGTCGACTGCGCTCTGGTCCTTCACATCGAGGCCCTCCTTGATGACGGCGGGAGCGATGACGGAGTTGACATTGTCGACGGCCTTGGTGACACCCTTGCCTCCCCACTTGCTCTTGTCACCGTCGCGGAGCTCGCAAGCTTCGTGCTGACCTGATTCGGGGGATGTATTAGCGAGGAATAGCTTAAGACCGCAGGTGAACTGTACGAACCGGTGGAAGCTCCAGAGGGAACGATGGCGCGGTGCAGGCCAGTCTCGGTAACGACGTCGACTTCTACGGTGGGGTTTCCACGAGAGTCGTAGACCATACGAGCGTGAATCTTCTTGATAGCCATGTTGACGTGTGACTTGGTTTAGGGACTACGTAAGAATTGTTAAGTTAGTTGAGGGAATGGAAGTTCAACGCAAGCTGGGAAAGACGCGATGCGCTTGAGTAATTAAGGAAATACCCCAGGAGGTAAGTAATTCGCTCAATGGGGACGGGTGAGTGACCTAATCTCGAGAATAGAATATATGCCTCAATGGTGAACCTTAGATGGAAGAAAATCGTGTGCATGTAGGGGTTCAGAGTAAGGATTGGAGGGGATGAAAGGTGGGATGGCGGGGTAGCTTTGAGATGTCATCAAGGAAAAAAGCCGACTGTGGGTACGAGTAGGTAGGTCAAGGTAGCTAGCTACCTACCAAACAAAAATGAAGCTCATATACTTACAATATTCTAAGGATATGGTTTGATGTAGGCGATGGGACGAAGAAGAGAGGGAAGAAAAAAACTTATCTGAAGTCCGGGTGAGACCAGGTAGAAATTGTTATGAGTAACCTAATACTAATACTAAAAAAGCACTCGCCTGCCTTGCACGCGTGGGCTGGGGACAACGTGAGTAAAACGAGTGAGCAAACGGGAATGGCACGACTGCAATTGGACTGTCTGGTTGGCCGGTGCCTATGGCGGGGTCCGGCGACGGAGACCTTTTCCCTTCTGCATCCGCCTGCACCTGCACGCCTTCAAGCCTCGCCCATTCATTCACCTGCATCTTGTAATGATCGGAGGGGCGAGGATACGCGAGGGTACCTGTCTCACACGTCTCTCACACGCCAAGCTGCTTGGCTGCAGATGTATCATCAGGTTACTCCGTAGCTTGCCCCCGTACTAACATATGCGTGTGTACTATAAGAGGAGAGGGTATCCATGGTATCCATACCTTAGGAGGTACATCCATATGGATACAGGTAGGTAGATGATTGAAGTCATAACCCTGTTCAAGTGTCAACACCATCACCGGCCCGACATACGTCAATGGTCGGTTGTAATGTGAGAGACCCGCTCCTCTCTCACGGTTCGATTGGCTTGTTGGGGAGAAGCTAGAAGCTACTATTATAATCCCTCACAGGCTTAACCCTGACATGTATGGCTTAGACTATTATCTCGGTTGAGTGCTTACAGCCTTATGAATACCCCTATATAAGGCCATTCCACATGCAGAATAAAGAAGAATGACTTTGGCATCTCTTGATCATTCGTTTTGTTGTACTAGTTACCTAGCTTCTAGGAAGAGAAATTCACTCTTTTCTCTCCCCGACACCAAGTAGGTTAGTTGCTTTTCTTCTATGTCTAAGGGTATCCTCTCCGACTCCCTTTTTGACCATAGCCCCAGTACGGACTCTTTTATAACACCTACCTAGAAGCATCGTATCTTGTCCTTTGTAAGCCAGGGTAAGAATCAAGCACTGTAGCCGTTCTCTTTAACCCAGGCAGCAACGTCGTCCCGGTCCCGGTCCAGCCAAGCAATCTTGCTACGAATGGCGTCCTTACTTTGCGCCAGGGGTTGGGCAAACGCCTTCGTGTCGATGTCCTTGAAGAATGCTTCTACCTTGTCAAGTTGTTCCTGCTTCGCGAAGCTGGATGTGCAGATGGTAACCATCGAGCCCAGTATAGGCGGGTTTCCGCTGAGGCGCTTGAAGATTTCAGGCCATTTCTCCGTAAGCCAGGCAAACAGCGCCTCGATACCCTCGGCGTGGCTTCGAAGTCCGCTTGTAGGTAAGTAGATATCTTGGCTCTTGACTTCCCCGCTAAGGACGAAATCCAGAGTCCGCTGGATGAGGGCCGGGTCTTTGGCTCGGCCGATGCATCGCAATGCAGTGTTACGTTCATCGCTGTTGGTAGAGTTGCGGTAGAAGTTAAGAATACCATCGTACTAAATGACGTATTAGTAACAGTAGCGCTGATCACCCAGTTGATAGAACTTACCTCTTCCTTTCCACCATACTTCAGGGCTATACTAAAAACACTACCTCGGATATTGGGGTGGATAGCCGACTTGTCGCCGGCCATGTACTTCTTGAACATTTCTTTGGCATCGGCAACGATCTTCTGGTCGCCAGCCATACCAGCTGCACCGAATAACATAGCCTTGAATTGCTGCTCAACATGGCCATCTGTGTCCGAGAAGGTCCATCCTAGCTTATGAGCTCTCTCGCTGATCAGGTCCTTGACAAACGCCTCAAGGCCATCCTTGACGGCTGCGTCTTCAAAAATCCAAGCCGACTGGACCGTGGCAACTCTGGCAATGATCTCACTCCATACCACAAATGATGCCTCCGTGTCGAACCCTTTCAACAAGTTAAGAACACCGGATGTCTTCTGATAACCCGATACGGCAAGCGCACCGGCGTCGGCGATCATACCGGCACGATCCTCCACTGTTAGTAGGCCATCCTTAGCGGATTTCCCCAACTTAGTGAGACGATCGGGAGTGTAGGATGTTCTATAGATGCTCGTATGATTTGCGTTTAGCTTGAAAAAGTCCAAGTCCTTCACCTTGAACACATCCTCCCTCTTCGACAGTGTCAGAGATTCATCTACACCATCCTTTGACCGAAGACCCAAGAAGACGGGGTACAAGACTTGG